AATATATATATATATTATTGGATATTTATAATTAAAGCAAAAAGAAAATAATTAATATTAATTAATACAAGTGATAATGATTTGTACCACTTAATCAAATTGTCCTGAATTCCAATCCTAATCTGAAATGGAATATTGAGAGAAAAATGTGTTAAGAGTCTCCTAACACTTTCAAAAGTGATTAAATCGTACTAAAGTCATGATTACAAAAAAAATTCCAAAATTTTGTCTCTTTCATATAATATTTTCCGTGACAAACAATAATTTCCACTGAAATTTAGGTGTTTTTTTTCACTCTAAGGGGATGGGGATATGATTTTACTAATTTTAGTATTACCTCATTTCTCAAGAGTAAAGAGTAATGCTTTTAATGCCCCTAAAATATAAAACACATTCCAATACTTATTATGTAAAGGAAGTGGAAGATTAGTTTAAACATATCCTAGGAGGATTAAAAATCATATATTTAAATGAGCTTTCGGTAACTCATGAGGGAGGATTTTGAAAGGTTGAATTATACAATTAGAAGTATGACCGCATTGGATTGGATCGAATTTTGAGACTTTAAAAATGGAAATGGTGAATATTTGTGTTGTTTCCATTTTCAACTGAGATAATATTGAAGGCATAAAATAAGAGATGCTACCAGTTGCTTGAATGTTGAGGTAAATAATAACCGAACCAAACCAATTGCCCAAACCAACCCGCAAAAAACAGTTTGGATCGGGTCGAGTTGGTGAGTCTACCAACACCTGCTTTCACCCTAGTTAGAAATCTTAGGAATATCGAAAGGAACAAATTAACAAGGACTAACTAAGTTATTTTTGTAGCAAATGTGACCTTGAATAAACAATTTGGACAGGCCCTAATATCCAAGATGACACAATGAGCAAATTGGATTCTCTCTAGTTGTGTTGTCTCTGCAGCACAAAACATAAGTAGAAAAGTAGAAAAAATGAAGAGAGCTTAGGTAAATAATGGACAGAGAAAGATGAATTAGAGAGGGAGCTGTTGGAGAAGATTCAAATCCCACTGAGAGTCAGTAAATAGGTAAATAACCCTGGGTGTAGCTCAATCAGACGGAAAGTGACTCGGTTGGGGTGGTCCATAGTCTTCCGAACGCCAAACCCAAAAGACGAAGACAGTCATGTTGAATGTAACATGGTGTGACTCTACTAGGATGGTCCAAGTACAACAAAGATTGATAGGGTACATCTTGACTAAATTACAGCAACTGACAAGTGTCTGGGGATGCCAACAAAATCTTCAAGATATTGAGAAAGGGTGAGATATCATCGAAAGATAGCAGCCAGAGGATGACATATCACAACCAGTCTTTATTGTTGAGGACAAAGCACGAGTGATGATGTTGCAGTGTAGTTTCATTTGGCATGAGACATACACGTGAACTAAACATCTTTTCTTTGTTTAATAGGGAAGAACTCTTTCACTATTTTCATATCATGAGAGAGGAGTACGAAGAAACGGAGAGGGAGAGGGAGAGGCTAGTCCAACATAAGCACTAGAACCGTGGGCACGTAGGTTTAAACATGTTTCCTCATCTCCTTGATCAATAATTGCATACACTTTCTCTTTCTCTCTCCCCCCATCACTTCCTTCTGACATGCACTTCCAGACTCTTCTATATAATGTTTTATGTAATCAACAACCTGCCCGCAAACCTTATTTTCATTTTTCAGATTGATTATATGATGAGTTCTTCCATCTTCCTTCTATGCTGCCTTCTCACATTCTGTTTATATTCCCTCTCCCAACATACAGGCTACTCCCTAGATGCTACGCCAACAAGGAAGTTGAGCATCTCAGCCCCTGTCCACGATCACAATACCCAGGTACGTTAATCCCCCAATTAAATCTAGAAAACAGTACATAGGATGGCACAAACCGAACTTTCATCTACAAGCCTTTAACCTTTCCCCTGAAATGCTACTCATAAATATATGTCCATGCATCTATTTTTCTTTGTTTCCACTGATTCCTGGCACATGATAGTATAAAATGCAGGAAGCAGATAAGGCAATGGAAAGTACCCCTGCAAAGGAAGATTCAATGACACCAGATTATACCCCCAACAGTTACAGTCTCCATGATCTTGTCTATCATATAGATTACCATGGAGTAACAACTCATCCAACTCCCAAACATCCCAAACCATAAACTGCCGCTTTAGTTTTGCATCGCAAGAGATTTATTCAGATATGTATTCTTGTTCTTATCAATATATAAATGAAATGATTTGTGTGGGAGAAAAAGTTTTGCTTATATACCTAAAAGCTGATTACATGATGCATTATCATTGCTTATGTGGTTTGCTCAATATATTGCACATATCTTGTAAGCCATAGCTTACAGAAACATTACTAAACCTGATGAGTTGGCTGCTAAGACTATTGCATATTGATGTGAGCAATTCCACTAGGTGAAGATGATCTCATATATTCCACGCCCAAGTAATGAAAATTAAAGAAAAATAAAAAAGTATTATAATTTATTATGAAGTGAAACCATTCCATTAATATACTGCTTTCTAGTATTTCTATACTTCTGAAGCAGCATCCTGTGACTAGTTACAACTTCTTCAAATACCACCTCACCACAAAACCTTGACTTCACATTTAAAAAAGCAGTTTCTAATTTATCCTTCTGTTGGGCACACAAAGAAAGTAGATCTTCAATCATGAAAGATTTATTGTTGTTGTATTCACCGCTGGTCTCTGTTTCCATACTAAGAATCCAGAGCCATTGGATTTGCTGGAATGGATCTTCATTTTTCTGAATTGCAATCTCTATGCTACTAAGCACTTCCATGAATCTAGATTCAGTACGAACTTTATCAATTATGTAGAAAAAAGTGTTTCTCTGACCCTCAAAAAGACTATCATAAACAACTGGTGGCAAGGAAACTGCAGCAGTCAAGCATGCTTTCCTAAAGCTAGGATCAGAATTGCCAATAATCCCAATGGCAACATGTAATAGATTCACAGACATACGATCAAGTTTTTGTGACAAAATATTCGAGCCATTATAACATAGTCTTTTCTGGTTTTCACTCCAGCAGTGAAGCGCAAAATGAGCTACTCCTCCCCACCTGGACATACAAACATTCGAGTGAAACTCAGATATTTAAACCATCACCAATAACAAGCTTTTAATCATGGCAACAACATTTTGAACTCTTAAGTAGCAAGTACAATCTTTAATTTGTAATGATGCAATTGCACCATGAACAGAGTGTACGTGCCATGGATGAAGAACTTCAATATTTCTAAAATAACTGCATATTCTACATATTATATTTATCAAACTAGTTTCTCATGACTTTTTAAACCATACCATTTAATGTCATCCATAGTGCTTTAGTCTTCTCTTCAATCACCTCACTCATTTGCAAGTAAAAATATCAATATGGGGCCCAAATATAACTTATAATCCAGCAATCACACACAATCAAAGGAAAAGGATATGATTTTTTAAAACATATAATTTAATGTCATCCACAGTGCTGTAGTGCTTTAGTCCCTTCAATCACCTCACTCATTTGCGAGTAAAAACATCAATACGAGCCCCAAATATAACTTATAATCCAGCAGACAATCAAAGGAAAAGGACAATTGAAATAAAATAGAAAAAGAATCATGAGTTAATAGGAAGACCTACAGATTAAATGATCTTCCCAAAGAAAAGAAATCAAGTTTTAAGTTGTAACATATCTCTCATTCACCAAACATGGTAAATCCCAATTTCTCTCTCCATGTGGGATTGAAGACAGACCAACAAGAAGATGAAAGGTTGATAATTTTATATTCATCCTTATCAATAGAGTAATAATTGACACAGACATCATTATTACATAAAATACTAGAAAAAATGGTCCATGAACCAGCTTTCCAAAAACATGTGTCTAAAAGCCTGCCTCTATGTCCTGCAGACTGGTCTAATTTTAATAATTGATTTAGAGTGGGTCATTCCACATGCATTGTTTCAGTCTTCTGCTTCAAAAACATCTATCAAATAATTTTTAATTTATTAATATAGAGTAATATACTCATTCAACTCGAGGGAATGACAATAACTAATAAAGAAAATGAAAAAAAAAAATGTATTCATAATTCTTGACATCAATGAGAAACGTGAGAATTAATTGCTAAGGAACAAGAGGTGTTAGATGATGTTTCCACAAGCAATATTCTGCGATGTTAAAAGAAACCAAACTCTGGCAGGCTTAGTGGTTCAACCAAATAGGTTGTCCTGTGCTCCTGTGGCTATTGATAACCAACCAATAAAACTTACGGTCAGGAGCAAAACAACAATAATTATTTAGGAATACAAATAGTATAAATATTTTATATTTTTAGTTTATTGCAGACTCAATTAAACCTAGAAAAAATAATTAATGTATGGGGAAGCAGTTGCCCCCTCCTCATGAATGTAGGCCCATGCTTATTGACATTGCTCATGAACTAAAGGACCTACTAGTACCATGTAGTCAAAGATGGACCAAATTTGACTGAATGGGAATGAGAACATCGAAACGTAACCACTAGCTTAACAGGTTATTGATTCGGAATTTTGAAAACAAGCATGATTGCCAGCAATAGTGGACCAGTAGGACTGTTAAACGTGTGGTGTAATGTAGATAAAGATAATACATTTACATGACTTCTAATTTTCCATTGAGAAAGAGCAAAAAGAAACTGACAATGTTATTATCAAGTATTTGTGAAATGATATATTGTATAATATAATTTGATCACTCTAAGCATTAAAAATATCAATTAACTGCATTCATATATGCATAGAATAGACACTTCATATTGACAGTATACAGATGAGCTTCATCCACAGGCATGGAAGATTGCATGTGAGCCATTTTCATCCTAGCATCAAATCTACTACACTCTAAAATGGCGACAAATAGGATTTTGTAACATTACAATACATTGAACTAAGCTCAAATGTGGCAACAACACTCCAATAGTAAAAAAATGCATTGAAGTGGCTAGAGGAAAAGAGAAGAGACAAAATCACACCATATAGGGGAAATTACCATAGGCATAAAAGGAAACTCTAAGATTCAGCAATAACCTTGGAAGGCTTATGTCCATGTTTTCCACATGTTATTCTTGGTGTGATTGTTTTTCATGATTTTGTATTTTGAAAAGCAGTACTTCCTACTTCGTGAACAAATTCAAGCAATCCATGAGATTCATAATTCTCAGCAACATCATCCTTATTTTTACTGTCAGCTAATGACAACATGTTTGTTTGCCATTCACTGCCAAATGCCAATAGAAGACACACATCAGTCACAGGCCACTTAATCCTACCAACAATTTTGGACATAGGCCTCCTTCCTCTGGTGTACACAAGTGCTTGAATACCTAGACAGAGACCACCTAATTTATTAACCAAAGGACCCACAGGTCACAACTTCAGCACCAGATGCTTTTGCTAATCCCTTCTCTTGGATTTTATCCATTACTCTTCATGAAGGAAATCTTCCTTCATGGAAATTTCAGACTCTGCTTAAATTATTATAATTTATTTGCTTTTTCTTTTAACTTTACACAGTCCTTGCAGTTATTTTAAATGACTACTTTAGCTACCACACAATAAAAAGGAAGGGTGGAGTATACCCAATCAAAGTTCTAATGATTTTGCATAGTTGAACTTGAACCCAATGTCCTGAGGCTGAGACTTAACAAATACATAAATATAACTGTTTGTTTGTGTACCTATAGCTCATGTTATTGTAAATATATGCTTTAAAGTTCTGTTCTATTTATAAATAGTGCACATGACATCATGCAATTATGGCACAGTTGCAAAGAGTCTATGCCTTCGAAACATCTAAAATGATGTATCTTCCTTTTTTAACTATTATGTTTCTTTCTACCGTGAATGCATTCCTGTAATATAATAAGGAAACAAGCGGCAGGTTCAGTTTGGACCTTACCACATAACATCTGACAATCATCGGGTCAAATATTATCCCTTTCATTGCATGCAGAAAATAAGAGTTAATAGAATTTACAACCACAACCTTAAATTATATAGCAATGAACAGAAAAAAAGGAGAAAAAAAATAAAGTGCCATAATAAAATTAATAAAGTTGTAACTGTAAAAGAACAAAGGGAACCTTTATAGCCAACGCTTATTGTATTTGAATTAGAACCAATAAAAAAAAATAGCTGAAGTTAACCTTTACTTACTCGAAAGGAGGTTCAACCTCAATACTAAGGGTAAGGTGCAATGAGAACCCAGGATAACCATCCCCATCATCAGAGTTTGTATAAGCTTCATGAGGAAAACCTCTGGGAATATATAATACATCACCTTCCCTGAGAGAGAACTCTCTTTTACAAGCTTTTGTACAGTCAATATCAGAACCAAGTAAATTATCATATAAGCGAGGTAACAGCTGACCGGGTGGAGAAAATATAGTCCACTGCTTGGAACCGAAAATCTGGCATACAAATACACAGTGATCATCAAAGTGACAAGCCAAGCCCTGAGAATTAGGGGGTGTTAAGTACAAATTGGCACCTACTGAAGGTTGGCCAAACATAAGTGCTAATGTATCTGCAATAGCTGCAATGCTCTGATAGCGAAACTCCAGACCACGCAGGGCAACAGAATAACCCTCTTTATAAGCTTGCCTGCACTTTAAGATGTCATCAAAAGTAAAATAGAGAGGTTCCTTAACGCAGCATGAATGAAAGTCCTGAAAGTAATGCATCTCTTTGCTTGATTGGCTCTCTGTTTTTACAACTCGTATATCCTGCTGGTAGATTATAGGACAACCCAATCTACCTTTCACCTCATTCAGAAAATTGAGTATGTTTTGTTCATCTGAGGCAATAGGAAAACAAGCCACTAGACCTTGAAGAATTGATGAAATAAGGGAAGGAACACTGCCATTCCAGTTCAAAGACTGCATAAATGCACCAAACATATCATGCATATCTGGATCCTTCACGATCCTTGTTAGAAGAAAAGGCGAAACCTCCCAGTAATTTGATATAAAATCACCAAAACCAGTATCACTCTCACCAAAAAGACCTCTTTGAACCACTTCAAATGGCAGAGAGCCAGTGAGTTGAGAAGCATTAATGGAAAGCCTAAAGATGCCTTCTGCAAGATTACTAACCGCAATATTGCTTTTACAAAAACGCCCTTCTTCATTACATTTCCTGGCACCTTTGATCACCTCTTCTTCACTTACTCTCGCCCTTATATCTCTCAAAACGTTCAGGAACGCTTCAGAAAGACTTGGTGGGACATTCTGTAGCTGATCAACTTCACAGGCATTGATAAGAACAACAGTCGCAGTGAGAAAAGCCAATGAGAGTTCATCTTCCTTAATCCCAATCTTAAGAGAGTGAGGACTTTGATCACCCTCAGAGTCAGACCATAAACACACAAATTCCAAACCCTTGAAAATCTGAAGAAACACAAACCTAAGGAACGTCAATTCAATCGTTTAGTCATCCATCGTATACTATACTTAATGCACCATCAAAAGACTAAAGATAACAAAATTTCATGACCTAAAACGACGCACCATAAATAAATGCTTACATCAGCTTGTTCAGGGCAAAAAACTTGAGCATTTGTCGTCGGGCGAAGGTGGTAGCAGAAAAGTCCAAAACGGCATTGCAGACAGATAACAGAACCTTTCTCTTGCGACTCTCTAACAGCGAGACTAATCCCTCGACGGTTTCAGAATCGGAAGCGATTTCCTCGTTGGCATCGAAGGAAACGAGCGAGGCGGCGCCGATGACGTCCGCAGTGCGGCATGCGATTTCGGCGCGCTTGGAGCGGAGTAGGGTTGGGAGCAACGCCAGCATGGGCGTCATGGAGGTTGGCGAGAGAAGAAGGGAACGGCGAAGTTTGAATAAGCATTTGTTGATGAGGATAACAGAGTGGGTTCTTTTGGAGAGAGCTGCGAGCAACAAAGCGAAGATGGCATTGCTATCTGAGGAACGAGGGCCGTGAAGGTCACGCGCCGAGGGTTTCTCATTCCTTTTTCTCTTAACTCTCTGCTTCTTCTCCTTCTCCATTCTTCTCGCCGAGGGAGGGAAATCGTTTACATTCCAACATGAATGATCATTCACCAAGCGGGCCTTCAAGGCCCAATAATAAGCCCACTATTGTATTTATTAGTAATCAATTAACGATCAGAGAGGATAATATTAATCTTGTGTCCATCCCATATAAATTAGTCGGTATTTTGGATCACAAAGACTTTATAGTTCAAACTAATAATATAGTTTATAATAAAAAAAATTATATTGCATGATATAAATCAAAAACTCGGTTTCAGCTCTATGTAGTACTAAATTAGTAAACTACAGTCATGCCTTTAATTTCAACGCAACGTAATCATCATATGAATAAATTAAAAGCATAATGAATAAGTTAAGTTGAAGTTAATTTTTAAAAAATTTAAGTCTAATTAAAAATAAATTTAATTTAACTGTTTGAAGATCTTTATTTTAAAAAGTATTTTTGTCAAAATAAAAATTTGTTTGAATAATAGTAATAATTAAAAATACTATTAAATGTGTAATTATTATGTATATGAATTTTATAATGTAATATAATATGAATATTATTTATTTAATTACTTTTTAGTTATATTTGAATTAATAATTTATTATTATTATTATTATTATTATTATTATTATTAAAATTGTGATAATATTATGAATTATCACATCAACATTATTCATAAAAAAAAATAGTTCATATTGTTAAATATATATTAAAATTTCTATGAATTTAATAAATATTAGTGTCTTATATATTGAAGAATCAAATATTGTTCAATAAAATAAGTTAACTCAAACGAAGAATATGTTGTTGAGACGTGCATTAAATCATAAATATCATTCGATGAAAAAAATTATCAAACAAATAGAGTTACCGTTCAATAACATAATGTCCAATTAATTAAGTATTTAAACAGCAAATCAAGCATACCATTGTAGTCGATGTTGTTGCTTCAAACTTCAAAACTCTGTATGTTTGTAGAATTTATGAGATACTTCAGTCCTCTGTTTGGGCAAATTGCAGAGTTAAGATCTCTATGGTTGATTTAAATATATTGACAAACTACTTTTATGAAGAAAATAATAATAATAATAATAATAATTCATTATATATTAGACATAAACAATTTTTTCGTAAAGGTTATTTTTTTTTATGATTTTTCATCTAATTAAAAATTTTATTTATCATGTTATTTATAAATTAAATTTCAATATTTTAAAATAAATCATCAATAATTAAAATATTTATTTTAAATTTAAATATAATTTATACATTTAAAAATATTTATTTATATAAATATTAAATATAATACTTATTTATTTTAAATTTAATAAATATTTAACATATGAAGTGCACATACTAAAATACTAACAATAATATATAAAACCAGAAAAGAAAAAGAAAAAGAAAAAAAAAGGCAGATGAATTAAAAATAATTAAAGATGAAGCATAATGCGGATTTAGATGGGACGGCGAGTTGGTATATGTTATAATATCTCTGTCTTTAGTCTTTATTTTCATTCTCGTACTGTATGTCTATTCCTATTTTCATACATGGTAGACATAAAATTTGTATTTTATCTCCATCATCATCAAATATCAAGTGTATTTATACTTGCCTAGAAATTAATTAATTTTTTTTACAAAAAAGTATAACAATAAATTTTTTTAAAATAAAGTAATAATTACAAAATTATATTAATTAAATTTTATTTAAAATAAATTGTGAACTAATTTTAACAAATTTAAGGAACAACTCAATTTTAGAAAGTTAGTAAATACTCTTTTTCAAGATGCCATTAACTTCTTGTTGGATGATGATCATGAAAGTATCATCTCTTACCTACCATTTTTAAGCATAAAAAATTACCCTTTACAAGCTTGTATATCGTAGACTTAATCAAAGATGGGGATACATACGACTTGAGCTAAAATGCAATGACGTGTGTACTTCACTGTTGAGCAACACAGGCCTTAACTATCCGTTCGATTATTAGTTATTTTCTTCCTCTTGCACAAATAATTGGCATGGTGGGTTGGGTTCTGATGTATGATATTTTAAAATTATAAATTGTCTTAAAAGCCCCAGACAAGTAATATGAACCGTATTTAACCATTTCTATATTATTATCACAACTCTGAATAGAATTTGATGAACGATACTTGTGGTTGTGGCAGAAAATTGAGAACATGATAGCAGAATTGTCAAGAGAATTTAGTACTATCTCATGAATAGTATTCAAAAGAATAATCCAAGATGCAGAAGGCAGATCAATAGGAAAAACTAATGCCATTGTTTCCATGCCTGAGCATATAAATCTAAAATCAAGCAAACTAAAAAAGGAATAATAACATTAAACATGCCCAAAGGGAATCCCCATAACAAATCTTCAGAAAGAATCTGAAGATCCCATACATTGGTTGTCGCTATCTGCAGTCAAACTGTTAAACATTCCACACAGTAATTAAATCAAATCCTTTCACAAAGTTCTAAAAAATGGTCTGACTGCAATTTTAATCACAACATCAAGGTTTTTGGATTCTTCGCAAATCGCAATTACAGAAAGTTTCTCATAACATCAAAGATCATGATGAAATTGTGACTGCATCTGGAATGTAAGTGACAGTGCATGTACATATGTAAACAGGAGGCATATGCAGGTTCCAATCATACCCTCTTATCATTTATCAAACGGGAAAAGATGCAATTACCTGTTATCATGGTTTTAAATTGGAGTCTACAATCGCAATTGCAAAACGGTTTTCTTTACTCGCCCGTCATCACAACACAATTGCAGCTGCATCAACTGCAATTTCTCACAATTTAAAATCATGACTGTTATTAGACTCAATTTAAAACTTCATGCTCCTACAAGTGAGACACAAGTTGAAGTAATTTTGAATCTTTTGATGCCCGTAGTTCCCATGTGCAGAGAGGGGAAGGTTGGGATGCAATCCCCACAACTTCTTGTTAGTGTTGAAAACTTGAAATACAATAACCTGCCTCCAACTAAATTGGTCGTGCAGAAAACTCCTTGTAGTTTTAAATCAACTGATGCAACTTTCTTAACTCACCAAAATTTGCATAATCAACAATTACAAGGGGATCTTCTGCACGCTCAACAGAGACTCAATATGCATGGAAACATTCAACTATGAGAATCCAGTAATGGAAATTTCAGAGCACGAAGGAAGATCGATTGAGTAAAACAAAATCTCAGCAGTAATAAAGAATCTTGTTTAGAGCAATGCAAGCAATATAAATATACATTAGTGAGACAAAATAAAAAGAAAAGAGAGAGAGAGAGAGGTAAGTTAGCTATATGGGAGGTATGTTAGAGAAAGAGAAATCTTTGTATCCCCTGTAAGCATTATATGCAAATCGCGTATAGTAGAAACCCGGTATGAACAAGACTGTTCCCAGAATCGCAAAGAAGAGGCCTATAAAATAAAGATAAAATTAAAATTTTAAAAAATAATAATAATAAAGGGCAAAAAAACGATTAGACGGAAAGCAGCGTTACCGTGAGCGGTGTCGCCGCCGACGTGATTGTAGGCCATGAGGGAACCGATGATGATGCCTAGGGTTCCGAAGACGAGGAGAGCGACGGCGAGGGCGATCTCCTTGGTGGGTGGCTTGTTGCTGACGGTGTACGGTGTGTCCATCATTATGTCCTCATCTGAAATCGAGAATGCGTGATCCACGTACATTTTCTCTCTCTCTCTCTCTCTCTCTTCTTTGGTTTGTAGATTTAGCTAAGGTTTTCGACGATTGATGAGATTAACACGAGAGAGTTGCGTCTGCGTGTGTTGATTCAATTCCGCTTTGCTTTGTAATAAAGTTCCACCTCTTTATGCACGTTTCTCGATGCTCTGGTATCAGCCACGGACGATCACATTATATTTATATATATTCTCTATTCTTATGTTTGTACTATGTTTTTATAATTGTGTTCTTCCCTTTCCCTCTATCGTGTGAGTACATAAAAAAATAATAATAAATACTCTCACTTTCAAAATGAGTTGAATGTTAATGTTTTAAACATGGTGGGAAATGTATTCTAGAGGCGTTGGGATGTCAATTCTGAGCGACCATAAATGATTATGGAGGTTAGACTTTGAGCGACCATAAATGATTATGGGGTGCTTCTCCTTACTTCAAATATCGTGTTGTTGATATAATTTATGAGTTAGTAATAATTTTTTATATTAGTAATTAATTATATTTTTTAATAGTGTTATATCATTTATTTATTTAATAAAATAAAATAAAATTTATTAAAAATATAATTAGTTGTTAGTGTAAAAAAATTATTATAAGTATTATCTATTGTGTGAACTGAAACATATTTTAATACTTTTTAGAGGTCTATATAATTGAATATGATTATTATATAATTAATTATATCAACCTCATTTGTATTTTTGTATTTTCTAAAAATTGTATATAATCGATTATAATTATTATATATAATTGAATATGAACTTATTTAATAAAAAAATACTTGAATCAACAATTTAATTATAAAAGATATTTTTTAAATTAATTTATAATATCATTTTAGCCTTTTTATTGAATTTAATTTAAATCAATAAAAAAATAATATTTCATTTAATTCTCTTCTACTTTCCTCTTATTAAATAAACTTAATTTATATTTTATTTCTTGTTTATTTTTCTTCTCTTCTCATTTATTTTCTCTATTTCCATTCTCATTTCCAAATATGATGTTAATTTTGAAGAGTGAACCTACCTCAATACTCTTTTAATATGAGAATCTATGCTCCTTTTTATAAAGTTATATTTTAATTTTAAACTATTTTTATAATCATATCATTAAACAACACTTAGCGTTTTTAATATGATTGATGTGAAATTGGCATTTGTTGCACTTTACATTTTACACTTACATAGTACTTATACTTTAGGGATAACATAGTGTATTTGGATTCTATAGGTACTCGCAAAAATATTCGCAAGTGGGATAAGTGTTTACCTGCAATTTTGGGTATGAATATAAGGCGAGTATATACCTACAATTTTGGACATGAGTTCGAGGTGAAAATTATGAGACCTTATCCTTTATCATCTCTATTCTACTTATACTAATTTTCTATATACTTGCATTATATTAATCTTTCGGTTCATATGCTTATAAAATCTTTATATTTTGGTCTCAAAACTTAGAAATTATACATCTTAATTTTTGTACGAGCAGATTCTTTAAAATTATTTTATATCAATTAATATCGAGACACTAAAAAGATTAATGTTGAGGTTGAAAAGTTTAAACATACTTATTAAATAAGACAAAATAGTATGTGAATAACAACGTGTGTTGACAATTATTGTAATGATGAAGACTTATTGCATCATTTATAATTTTGTTGTATGAAACACTTGGAGATATATAATGCATCAAACATTTGTTGCATTAATTTAATAATTTTAATCTAGTAATATCAAACACTTAAATATTCATATCACTATTATATGAACATTTTTTTTATGCTTGAGACCTTCTTATTGATAGTCATGTAACTCTATTATTTTTAGAGTTTTTAACACTACCAAAAAATTTGAAATTGACAATATAAAATTATAAAAATTAAATAAAATTTGATGATTGCTAAATTGTCAATAATTTGAAAATGAAAACATTTTCATCATACATAGCCTCCAAAGATGAATTCTGGGCATGATATATCACAGAAGTATTATACGAGAAAATGAATTAAATGACAGCTCACACATTTTAAAAAATTTCATGCAATATAATTAAAATGATTCAACATATCAATGTCACCATAAATAATGGCAACACAAATTATTATTCACAACATATTGTTTTGTATTAGAATCACATATAAACTCTTCGATATTGAAATTTTTTGATTTAAAATCGAAAAAATTAATTAATATAAAAAGATTTAAAAACAACATAAAAGATGAGGGGTGTTGATAAAAAGGAAAATAACAAAAAGAAGGATAAAAAAGTATTCACACAAACTAAAACATAAACAAAAGTTGTTCATGTAGAAACTAAAACATATAATTTATAAATGTAAGGATTAAAACATAAATGTTATGAATATGTCGATAAAAAAAAAAAGTAAAAGTATATATATATATATATATATATATAAATATCATATTAGTTCCATCACGGTGATGTCTATGATGGAGAAGTTGGACAAGTGGTCCATGGATGGTGCATTTAAAATCACCATAGATATAATATTAAAAACAATGAATGGTTGAGATTGTGATTTAGTGAGAAAATATATTGTACACCTTCACACACTGGATAAAATTTCTGAATATTTTACTGAATTTTTTTTTTTTAAATTACCTAAAAAAACACGTATTACGATGACTGACGCAGCAGCTGTCACTTCCAGAACGGGCCGTTCTGAAACCAGAACGACCCGTTCTAGATGAAAAAATAACACAAGAATAATGCACCAGAACGGGCCGTTCTATAAGAAAAAAAAACACGTGATAAACTACACCAGAACGGGCCGTTCTGAAATATGAACGGCTCGTTCCAGATTTAAAAATAACATATGATTACTTAAACCAGAACGGGCCGTTATGAATTCGGAACGGCCCGTTCTGGCTACATATTTGTTCAAATAGGGAGATCAAGAGGATGTTGGAGAAAATTGTGTAGCCTAATCAGAAAGATTGGAGTAGCAGGCTGGAAGGTGCTCTTTGGGCGCATAGAACTACTTACAAAGCAAAGCACCCATAGAGATGTCTCCTTATCGGGTTGTCTTTGTCAAAGCATGTCATCTACCTGTGGAGATAGAGCACCGAGCCTACTAGGCTGTGAAGACCTGCAACTCCTCTATTAATTAGGCTGGAGAGGAAAGAAAGTTCCAACTGAGTGAGCTTGATGAGATCCGCTTGGAAGCCTATGAGAACTCTAAGTTCTACAAGGAGAAAACCAAGAAGTTCCATGATAGTTTGATAGCTAGAAAGGACTTCATGGTTGGGAAAAAAGTTTTATTGTATAATTAAAGACTTGGTCTCATGGATGGTAAGTTGCGTTCCAAGTGGATTGGACATTTTGTTGTTAGTAACATTTTTCCTTATGGTACAGTTGAGATCAAAAGTGAATCCACAGACAAGAGCTTCAAAGTTAATGGGCACCATCTAAAGCCTTTCCTCAGCAACCCTTCCTTGTTGAATATAGTTGTAGAGGAGATGTCTCTGCTCGACCTCACTTCTCTCTCACCATGACTTAAGGAGTTTTCTTTCCCTCTCTTCTTCTTTACTTTTATTGCACATGTCCAATTCTATTGATTGTTCTGATTGCTCTGATCTTATGTGTGTGCCACATTGGGACAATGTGTGATTTCAGTGTGGGGGGGAGACTATTTTGGTTATCTGTTTTTCGGGATCATTTGTTATTTTCGGTTTAGGTTTTATGTACAGTTTTGCATGTTTCTCTTTGATTTCTTGGTTTCGATAGTCTGTAGGCACTTATTTCACTCTTGGATATGAGTTGCTTGATGTTCAATGGATTGAAATCCCTATCTTTCTCTGCTTGAAAAGTTGATTATGAGGTTTCAGAGGTTGATTTGAATGTGACAGATTTACCCTATGTGAGGTTTTGACCCTTTCTCTATTCTTTCATGTGTGTTTTGCCTCTTGATTGCTTGCACAATATCCTTGGCTTGACTCTATTTGATATTTCTTAGTCCACATGCATGTTTGGAAAGGATTAAGGCGTTTTGATTCTGACAAGCCTCTGCCAAATAAGCCTACCTTGAATTAACTCCTCTAATAACCCCTGCTGAGCCTGTTTCCCTTTCTTTGTTTGAAGCTCATTACAAGCCTTAAGTGAAAAACCATGATTACCTTAACCTTAGGGAGTTTTGGAGCTTTGGAATTATTTTGGGAATAAGTTATTGAATAAGTGTGGGGGTGTGTGTATGCTTCATTGGATGATGTATATTGGCTAGTTGGTTCTTTATGCTGTACATTTTACTTCTCTACCTCTGTTATCTCAGTATCTTATCATATCTTAGTTTTTCATGTTGTATTGTTCTCAATTTTTTGTGTTGTATTTTTCACACACTTTTCTTCAAAAAAAAAAAGAAAGAAAAAAAAGAAAAAGAAGAAAAAGAAAAAGAGAAGTTGTTTGAGGCAAGTAAAAGAGGATTAATTGTAGAGCTTATTAGAGGTTTCTAGGTTTGCTTCTTATGCTTATTTTTAACTTATTCCCCATTGCTCCTCTAGTTCCTCTGGTTTGTAGTTACTTATCCCATATATTTTCCTTTACCCTATCCTTGGCCTCATTACAACCCTGAAAAAACCTTTTGATCTTTGTGTGCGTGTGTGTCAGGTGTTGATATTAAAGGCTTGCCAAGTCTATCAGTTGCTTGTTTTTCATGAGTGCTTTGAGAGTATACAGTAGCCTAAACACTTGAGAGATACAGTGATACAGTGCATATCTTGTGAGGCTCTTTTGCTTTTGATTCACCTCTTAAAATAACTAATTTTCTTGCCATGTTTTGAAATACTTAGATGATGTCCATAGGTATCTGGTTTCTTTGACTCTTTTTGTGTTAGATGTTGTCTATTCCTCTCTTTTCCCAGGATTCATTAAGGAGTATGTAGCCCTGTCTGTTTGTATGTTGTTATTTTTGTTTTTGTTTTTCTCCCTTATGTGGCTCTCTTTGTTGTTCTGGATTTTTCCCAGGAGTGCAAAAGGATAAGTGTGGGAGAATTTGATGAGTCATTATTTCCCCTTATTTGTTTATCTTTTTGTACTTATTTTAATTGTTGATTTGGGCTTAATCACTTATTAATTGCATAGTTTGCACCTCCACCAGCTCAACCTTCTACTTTTGAGCCTTCATTGGAGGAGTTGGTGAGGCAGATGACCATTCAGAACATGCAATTTTAGCAAGAGTCCATAGCCTCTATTCAAAGCTTGACAAATCAGATGGG